AATTAGAATCCAAAAAAACTATAGAAAGAATCAACAAAACAAAGAGTTGGTTCTTCGAAAAACTTAACAAAATTGACAGACCCTTAGCAAATCTTATCAGAAAAAGAAGAGAACACACCCAAATTAATAAACTCAGAGATGAGAATGGAAACATCACCACGGAAACAACCAAGATTCAGAACATTATAAGGGAATACTTCTCAAAACTTTATGCTAATAAGTTTGAGAACTTGACAGAAATGGACCTCTTCCTAGCAAATATTGACATGCCAAAACTAAACCAAGATGAGGTAAACTATCTTAACAGGCCCATATCAAACATTGAAATAGAAACAGCAATAAGAGACCTCCCAGCTAAGAAAAGTCCAGGACCAGATGGTTTTACAGCGGAATTTTACAAGGCCTTCAAAGCAGAGCTCACACCAATTCTCCTCCAACTCTTCAATGAAATTGAAAGAGAAAGCTCACTACCGAACACATTCTATGAAGCCATCATAACCCTCATCCCAAAACCAGGCAGGGACTCATCAAAGAAAGAGAACTATAGACCCATTTCTTTGATGAACATTGATGCAAAACTTCTCAACAAAATTTTGGCCAACCGACTTCAACAATTCATCCAAAAAATCATACACCATGATCAAACAGGATTCATTTCAGGGATGCAAAGCTGGTTCAATATACGCAAATCAATTAATATTATTCATCACATCAACAGGAGCAAGAATAAGAACCACATGGTTATCTCAATAGATGCAGAAAAAGCATTCGACAAGATCCAACACCCCTTCCTGATGAAGGTTTTGGAAAAATTAGGAATCCATTCCTAATTACATTCCTCAATACAATAAAGGCTGTATATGACAAACCTACAGCCAGCATTATACTTAATGGTGAAAAACTAAAGCCATTTCCTCTTAACTCAGAAACAAGACAAGGATGCCCACTCTCTCCACTTCTCTTCAATCTAGTATTAGAATGCCAAGCTACAGCAATAAGACAAGATGCAGACATAAAGGGGATCCAAATAGGGAAAGAAGAAATAAAACTCTCTCTCTTTGCAGATGACATGATCTTATATTTAAAGAATCCCATAGACTCCACTCCCAAATTACTCAAGCTGATTCAAAAGTTTGGCAAAGTAGCAGGTTATAAAATTAACCCCCAAAAATCAATGGCTTTTCTGTATGCCAACAATGAAAAAAGTGTGGCTGAAATTAGGAAAGCAACTCCATTTGTAATAGCCCCACAAAAAATAAAATACCTAGGAATTAACTTAACTAAAGAAGTGAAGGACCTCTATGATGAAAACTTTAAAATCTTGAAAAAGGAAATCAACACAGAACTTAAAAAATGGCAAAACCTCCCATGCTCCTGGATTGGAAAGATTAACATCGTGAAAATGGCAATACTTCCCAAGGCTATCTACAAATTCAACGCAATACCTATCAAAATTCCACCCTCATTCTTCAAAGAAATAGAAGAGGCAATCCAAAAATTCATAGGGAACAATAAAAGACCCCGAATAGCAAAAACGCTTCTGAATGGAAAGAACACTGCTGGAGGAATATCAATACCAAATTTCAAACTCTACTATAAAGCCATAGTAATCAAAACAGCTTGGTATTGGCATAAGAACAGACCTCAGGACCAATGGAATAGAATTGAAAACCCAGAAATGAACCTACAGACCTATAGCCATCTAATCTTCGATAAGGGAGCTAAAATAATAGAATGGAAGACAGACAGCCTCTTCAGTAAATGGTGCTGGCAAAACTGGTTAACTACATGTAGAAAACTAAAGCTAGATCCTTATATATCACCCTGCACCAGAATCAACTCCAAATGGATCAAAGACCTTGAACTCAAAGCAGACACTCTGAAAACATTACAGGATGGAATAGGAGAAACCCTGGGTCTCCTTGGCTCAGGCCGAAATTTTCTGAATAGAGACCTGGAAACACAACAAATCAAAGAAAGGTTGGACAAATGGGATTGCATAAGGTTGCAGAGCCTCTGCAGGGCAAATGACATAGCTAGCAAGATCAATAGAAAGCCCACGGATTGGGAGAAGATCTTTACTAGCCATACAACGGACAAGGGTCTCATATCTAAAATATACTTGGAACTCAAAAAATTAAACCACCCAACAATGAATCCTCAAAGAAACAACTGCCCAATAAGTAAGTGGGCAAAAGACTTAAAGAGAAGCTTCTCTGAAGAAGAAAGAAGGATGGCCAATAGACACATGAAGAAATGTTCAACATCCCTAGCCATAAAAGAAATGCAAATCAAAACAACATTGAGATATCACCTCACTCCATTTAGAACAGCAAAAATCAAGAACTCTAACAACAACAGATGCTGGAGGGGATGTGGACAGAAAGGAACCTTACTTCATTGTTGGTGGGAATGTAAACTTGTTCAACCACTTTGGAAAGCAGTATGGAGGTTCCTCAAAAGACTTCACATAGAACTCCCCTATGACCCAGCAATCCCACTTTTGGGCATTTACCCTAATGTTTACAAAAAAGACCACACTAAAGCTACCAGCACAACTATGTTTATTGCAGCATTATTTACCATAGCTAAGATATGGAACCAACCCAGATGCCCCTCAGTAGATGAATGGATCAAGAAAATGTGGTATATATACACAATGGAATTCTATGCCTCCATCAGAAAGAATGACATTTCCCCATTTGTTAGGAAATGGAAAGTCTTGGAAAAAATTATATTAAGTGAAGTAAGCCAGGCCCAAAGAAACATAGGTCCCATGGTTTCCCTTATTTGCAATATCTAGTATAGGTATGTGTCAAGCGGAAAAAGTCAGATAATGTGATGTTAGGAAAACGAACCCTCAAATATGTATTTTAATGTTTTTGTTTCTTTCATGCATGTGTTTCTAACGCATTTATAAGATTATTTCTTTGTTGCTTTGTATGTCCCTCCCCCACAGTGTAACCCCCGCTTTCACTATATTTGATGTCAGTATAACATGTGGAGGAGACGGGGACAAACAAGTCATTTAAGGATACAGGTGGACCTGTTGCAACAATGAGAAGTACAAAATGTCATGTCAAAACCAGCTTTACAATGTCGGAGTGGGGGGGGAGGGGGGGTTGATAGGGTGCGGAGGGAGGGGGGAGTGTGGGAAGGGAGGTGAAAGGTAAACAAAGGAGGAGGCTGCAATGCTTGGTAAGAAATGTATGCATTATCCTGCCCATGTAATTGTAACCCCTCTGTACAGTATGTTCTCAAATAAAATTAAATTAAATTAAAAAAAATAATAATTGCCAATCTCTGGCAGCATAAGAAATGAGTAAAAACCTGTGCTACAGAAGAGCAAACAATATGATTAAAGTGATTTCCTCTTTTGATATGTTATTGAATGCTTTTCTTTTGAATTGTTGTTGATCATTAGAATTCAAAGGTCAGGGACAGGAGTTGCAAATCCATCTGCTACAAATGAAAGTGTGAGCATGGATACAGAGGAAAAGTAAAGAAAATTCAGAGAACAGTCAACTCAGGAATGCTGCTATCTACTATATTTTTAAATGTCTACATTAATAGAAGTCAGTGAGGCATATAAAGTGCTATGTATCTTTGAGTGATTGTTCTAAGGTTCTTATCTATGTTTTCATTTGTGAAATTCATCGTTCCTAAAATACTAGTATGATAATTGCAACAATTTTCTTTATGAGAAAATCTTTGAGATGAAATGATATCCAAGGTTCAAACAACACTGGATACTAAACAATAGAATCAAAAGGAGAAAACAAAGTACACAATGAACAAGAACCAGCAGAAAAGGGATACAGCTATACTATTTATTCATTATATGGTACAGGTCCTGAGGCTTGAAGTCAGGACCTGAGGTTAGTCTTGGTCAAGGCTAGTAATGATCTACCAACTGAGCCACACACAAACATCTGGCATTTTGGTGATCAATTAGATAAAGTGTGTCATGGATTGTTCTTCTCAGACTAGTTTTGAACCATGATCCTCAGATCTCAGCCTCCAGAGTAGCTAGGATTATAGGCATGGAATTCACAGAAATGGTGGGATAAAGAATGAACTAATTCAGCAGTGATACTCATTAGACACTATGTTGAAAATGAATTATTCGATTTGTGGGGGAGCAGAGTCAGGAGGGAAAAATCCGGGAGAAAATGAAGGAAGAGGTGACACAAAAAAATACTAATTTCATTACCTATGTAAATGCAACCCCTCTGCCCATCACAATAAAAATATTTAAAGAAGTACAAACATTTTAAAAATGAAAGTAATTATAGTTTCTTTCATAGATTCTAAAAATTTTTAAAGAAGTACAAAAATTTTAAAAATGAAAGTAATTGTAGTTTCTTTCATAGATTCTAAAATAAAGTAAAAGGTTTGACTCTTCTTTTTAAACTTGTGATGGATTTGCACCAAATAAGTACATCTGTCTTTTATTTTCTTTATTCATTTCTTTTCATCCAATGCAACCTGAAACAGTATTAATGAACACTGTATTAAAGAAGATTATCACTGTGATTTTGGGGAAGAAGACTATTACTAGGATTTGAATTCAGGGCCTGGTGTTTAGGTTGTTTAGCTTGCTTGTGAGGCTGGCCCTCTACCAGATGAAGATCTCCTTCAGCCCAGTATTTTGCTTGTTATTTTTTTATGTTATGTTGTATTATCTTTGAAGAGTTACACAAGGAATTTTCCATTCAACATATCAGCTTATGAATACAGTGCATCTTAGTCAATACCACTCTTTCCTAATAGGGCCATTAATCATATGTGTGCAACATTGAACATTTAAGAAAAAAAGTTTACACATTTAGGAAAAACAATGAACTATGAATTTAGAAATACATTGCATCCTAAGCTTGCAAAGTGAAGTGGCTAGAAAAATAGAAATACGTACTTACAACTACTTTGTTCCTCATTCTAGTCCTACACCAGGGAGCTCCCACTCTCTCTCCTTTGCAGTTCAGAGTCCTGGCTATTTTCTAAGCACCTGTTTTAGACCTCAGAACTTTCCTAAGGGCTTCTTTCACATCCTTATTCCTCAGGCTATAGATCAGGGGGTTCAGCATGGGAATCACCACAGTGTAGAACACCGTGGCCACTTTCTCAGCATCACCGCTGTTTTCTGATGTAGGTGCACAATAAATGGAGAGGATTGTCCCATGGAAGACCACGATGGCTGTGAGGTGAGAGGCACAGGTAGAAAATGCCTTGTACCTCCCCTTGGCAGAGCGCATCCTCAGGATGGTGACCAGAATGAACAGGTAGGATGTGAGGATCACCACGATGCTAATGGTCTCATTGAAGGTGGCCACAATGAACAGCACTATCTCATTGACAGTGACATCAGAGCAAGCCAGACTTAAGAGAGGGGGTAGATCACAGAAGAAATGATTGATTACATTTGATCCTGAGGGCCAGGCACACGTGAATCAGGGCGCATGCCGACGCATAGAGGTAGCAGCCACACACCAGCACCACACAGAGTTTCTGGGACATGATGACCCTGTACAGCAGAGGGTTACAGATGGCCACAAAACGGTCATAGGCCATGATGGCCAGCAGGAAGACCTCTGTGACCACGCAGGTGCAAAACAAATAGAACTGTATATGGCATGCCAAAAAGGAGATGGCTCCATCCTCCTGAAGGGTGTTAGGCAGCATGTTTGGCACGATGATTGAAGAGTAGCAGAAATCTACAAAGGACAAGTGGCTGAGGAAAAAGTACATGGGAGTATGAAGTGGAACGCTGATCTGAATCAAGGCAACCATGCCCAGGTTGGCCAGAACTGTGACTCCGTAGATGACAAAGAAAACCAAAGTAAGAAGGACTCTTCCAGCAGGTGCGTCTGATAATCCAAGAAGCACAAACTCTGTCACAGCAGTACAGTTTCCTTTTCCCATTTATCCTCTTCACAGGCATTTGGGTAAATAATTTGAAAATCTCTCTATTTTATTATCTGAAATTTAATTCTGGCCCTTTTCTTGAAAAAATATCAGAAGCAATAGTATGCTTAATATAACCTGCAGAGAAAAAGCAAATGTTTCATGGGGTTTATCATATAATATGGAATTATGCATTAGAAATGCTTAAATTCATAGTTTGACTCCGAGATCACACAAAAATCATTACTTACATCTAAACTTTGTGTGATTTTGATCATTCTTTTCATGATTGCCAGGTTGCTATTGAGTTTATAAGCAACAAGTTCCAATAGTGATTTAATTTGCTTTATTGCTCTATGAAAACTACATCTAGTAAGGAGGACGCTATGGAAAATTTTACAATGCACCTGCCAGTCTGCTTCCAGTACCCTCTGCCTACAACACACCACATAACACATCACCTGCGTGAAAAGGTCACTAATGCCACAGCGAGAAACCTGCTTTAGAGAGTCATATCAAAGAACTTTGCACAGATCCAGAGGAACTCCTTTCCTTTATGCTACAGAGATGGTTCATATGTTTGCCTTCCTCCCTAAGCAGTTCTGGAGACCTCTCATGGCCACCAGACCCTTGAGGTTGCTGGCAGGAGAATCTCTATCCAGGCTTCATGAGACTGGATAAAGGAAGAGGGGAAATAAGACACATAAAGTGCTTAGGTATCCTCATTGGTTCTGCTGTTTTTCCTGTCACACTAATGGCTTTTGGGAGATTTGTGATTCTGCAGACTAAATTATTGATCATTTCAACCATCCCTTTCTACATAAGAAGCAGAATCTTGTCTAACAGTGTTCAGACTGGCATTTCTGAGTACACTCTCACATTAACAGATAAAACACAACTTAAAAAATAAACTCATATGATTACCTCTTTTACAATTTTTTTATGAATGCAGTAAAAGTCAGCCATAAGGAAAATAGCTCATGCTTCCAGCACCATGAAAATTCTATTCATAGGTGTTCTGCAAAGATAACCATAGGGTAACTTCAAACCACAAGCCTATGAAGAAGACATCATGTTGTCCGGAAGATGCTATTCTGGGAGATGTTTCAGTTTTTTATGTTTGAAAGATGACTCTCTGGGGCCCGTGACATTTAAGCATTTCAAAACAATCCTTGGTCTCTGTGGGACATCAAGGAGCTATCATGAAAATCACTCTCTCCTGAGATGCAAACAATTATTTCTACTGTAGAATTAAAACTGATGAAAACTAAACTATGTAGTGAATATTACTGTAAGCTAGTTCAATTTAAACTAGATCTCACAGTCAAACAAAAAATACTGCATTCTGTGTGGGCATTGCTTTGAGAGTACATTTATTTTGTCATGGTGAAATAAATGAAGGCATTTATAAAATTTGTTTGTCCTATAGTCAACAACCCCTTTCTGGAAGACAGGAGGGTCTGAAATCACATTCAAAATCAACTCTACAAGGAATGGAGGTCATGAATGGTCCACTTACTGATGTAGCTCAGTAAGTGTGAGCTATGCCCTTGTGTCAAGGACTCTTCTCAGTAGCACTTTAAACACAGTCCATCTTTATGAAGCTAAACTGAGATGAGTAATTTTAAATCTCTTCTACAAATGAGGTGACTCAGAAACAGACTGGCACCTCTTGTCCAGTCACTTTCAGAATCCCCCTAGAAAGAAGGCATGTACAGAAGAAATGCTCAACTCCTCTGGTCATAAAAGAAATCCAAATCAAAACCACACTGAGAGTCCACCTCATCTCAGGTCAAATGGCTATAATCAAGAACTCTAGTAACAACAGATGCTGGAGGGGATGTGGCCAAAGGGGGAACCCTACTGCTATCTTGGTGGGAGTGTAAACTTGTTCAACTACTCTGGAAGCAGTATGGAGATTCCTCAAAAGACTCCACATAGAGCTCTCCTATGACCCAGCAATCCCACTTCTGGGCATTTACCCAAATGATCACAAATAAGGCCATACTAAAGTTATCAGCATTATTGCAGCATTCTTCACCATAGCTAAAATATGGAACCAACCCAGATGCCCCTCAGTAGATAAAAGGATCAAGAAAATGTGGTATATGCATATATACAATGGAATTCTATGCCTCCATCAGAAGGAATGACACTGCCCTATTTTTAAGAAATGGAAAGACTTAGAAAAACTTATATTAAGTGAAGTAAGCTAGACTCAATGAAAAAATAGGTTCTATGGTTTCCCTTATTTGACATAACTAGTATATATCCATGATAATCTTAGCAGATGAGCAGAATAGCTCAGTAGCTATGTATATGTGACCTATAAAATGATGCTGAGTGAAATAAACTCCAAGACAAGGACACAGTTTTTCTTCATTGTAGTTTTTAATGTACTATGTGATTTTTTTTGTTTCCTTTGTATGTTCTGTCCCCTATGGTATATCCTCGGTTATCACTGTATTTGATCTGGTAGCCTACTGTTGTATATACATTTATTTGAATTAGGAAAGGGAAAAGGAATAACAGAATGGTGAGACAGAGGACCAGGGTGTGGGGGAACCAACGCAACAGCCATATTCACAAGGAAATAAGTTGGGAATGATCTGTACAACTTGTGGAATGGGTAGAGGGAGGGAAAATAGGAAGAAATAAGGGAAGGGATAACAAGTTTGACAAGAAATATACTCAGTATCTTACTTGTGTAACTGTAACCCCTCTGTATATCACCTTGACAATAAAAAATAGAAAGAAGCCATGTATATCTTTTTTTAGCATGCATAGCTACAAGGAGGGCTGGAAGGTCCACTTTCCAGTACAATGCTAGAGGTGATTACATGGGGAGAGCCAAACTCAATCCGTAACTTTCCTCGTGAGGTAGTATTGAGCTGAATATAGTGCTCCAACCCAATATGTGTGTTCCTCAATACACCAAATACAGAAATTTCATGAACATCAATGAAAGTGATCTGCTACATGTAATAAGTTCCCCAATTCACAACCATTTACAAACCATTTTCCTAAAATGGATCTATGTGGGAATTTCCTGAACTTGGGAATTTGCTGAACTTGAGAAATCTTCAAGGAATTTTTTGGTACCTAATGTCACAAAACATTAAAAGTATTTCTGTTATCCAGTTACATCTTCTTATTTGAAACGTTCCAGTGAAAGAAAAATAAAACAACCAGAAATCCCAAACTTAAACATAAATACAACATGAAATATGTTATCCGTAGGGCCTGATATTTCTTCCTTTTCAATGAGATACTTTATACCTCATCCACTTGGAGGAGGAGATTGTGAGGAGCTAGGTTCAATGTCAGACCTCAACCTCAATCAACAATCTGTGCATGGTGATACACACCTAGGGCCCGGAGATGTGGAAGGCTGTGGATAGGAAGAACACAATCTGTGGCCTACCCTTGACAGAAGTCAAAACAGTGATCTGTGAAAAGTACCTAGCCTCCCAAAAAGGCTAGGAACATGAATCAAGTGGTAGATTGGCTGCTTAGTAGTATGAGGCTCTAGACTCAAACCCAGTACCGCCAAAAAGGGGATGTACAAATATTCAAATACATATTCAAATATTGAAACATATATTTTCCCTTATTTCCTGGGAAATATAAACTTATTTCTGTGTGTGATATCAAATAATAGGTCAGGTGATTATGAGGATTCATATTTGACTCATTGATTATTGGTTTGGTAACAACTCAAGCTTTGGGCAAGTGGTCTAGCTTTTGGGGCTTGTGATTTGAATTACAGAAGCTTTTCAAGCTTTGGAAAGACTGCAAAACTGGAAGGCCTCTCAGAGTCTGGAGACTGGTCCAAGTTTATTTCAACTACCTTCTGTAAAGGAAAGATGAATTGATTATCTCATTTGATCAGAAGAGACACAGAAGTGGTGGGGGGAGAGGGGATGGAAACACAGAGTGGAAAAGTTGGACCATGTTTGCCAGTTACTATCCTGTGTAGCAAATCCTTTGAAAGCTGTAATTTCAAAACTCTTGACTTTCTAGAAAATTAGAAGAAAATTGAATTGGTTTTTGTCATTACAAAAACTCGTTTATAGATTACCATGAAAATTTTTATGTAAAAAAATGAACTCTGTAACTTGAGGGGAAGGAGGGAAGAGAAGAAACGGAAGAGGATAGAAAGGGTGACACTGACAAAGAAGCATTGTCTCCTGTGTAGCTTGAATTAGAGGTGCTTCCCAGAATGCTCCGTGTAATGACATTGGGACCCATTGTGCATTGGCACTTGCAGACCATGTAAGTGCACACTGTGTGTATCTCTTTTAGTCAGAATTTGTCTTGGTACCATCTTCTTGCATATTTGTGATTTAATGTGATATTTTTCGTCTCACTTTTCTTGATTGGACATCAGTCATGGGTTTGGGTAAAGATAATGCTTATAGCACATTAACTGTCAGCTCATTTCTGGATGCAACTTTAATGCTCATCTAGCTCTGACATCATGAATATACATTTGATCCTCTAAATTTTACTAAAAACAATCTTTGGAGAAAAGAACCTCTTCAACAAATGATATTGGTAAAATTGACATCTACATGTAGAAGACTGAAACTAGATCCCTTTCTCTCTCCCTACACATAAATTATGTCAACATATAAACTATCATAATATTTGCTCTGAATGTTTGAAACTACAAGAGAAAAACATAGGCGGAAACTCTTCAAATTACATGCATAGGTAATCAATTCCTAACTAGGATCCTAATTGTTTGGAAATAAGAAAGATTGCTAAATGAGATTGTATCACATTGAAATATTTTCTGCACAAGAAAAAGTATGGGGATACAGGTGGACCCATTGCAACAATGAGATGTGCAAGTCGTTATGTCAAAGAATGAACTTTACAACTTTGGGGGGGGACGGGGGTGTAGCGGTGAGGATTGGTTGGGGGGGTAGGGGGAGCATGGGAAGGGATGGGAAGGAGGAGGCTACAATGCTTGATAAGAAATGTACTCATTATCTTGCCCATGTAATTGTAAC